TGTGCTCTTTAATACTAAGTTGGGAGCAGTCGTTTGAGTTTAGCAAAGTGTGATTAATGCTGTCTGAAATGTGGAGTGAAGTGTCTTTTTTTGGCCATCCCTGTAGACCACGAAACCGTGTTTCAATTTCACTTGATGGTTCCAATAATATCGAAAAAGTAGTGAATAATACTCTTGATGGTTCAATCCCCGCGGCGGCTAAAATTTTGCAATCAAGGTTGGCGGCCACTTGTTGGCTTCAAAATGGTCCTGACGATGAATTTGACATCTGATTTTGATATTTAGCGCGATTTGGCACCAAACCGTAGGCGCCAACCAAATGCAAAATTTAGTCGCCACGGGGGATCGAACCTTAACAGTACCTTATGCTTCTTTTTTGTACTACTACTAAAACCGTTCAGCGAAAATGAAACATGGTTTTGTGTTCCCTACATGCGTCCCTACAATATGCAAGAAACCGTTTTGAAAAAGCGTGGCTTGCCTGAAAGACCCTCCTTGTGAGGTCATAGGGTGAAAGAAGAGAAATTTTCTGGTAGAATAGAGTGTATTTTTCAATTCGCAGGTGAGATTATTCTGTTAACATTTCAGAAAAAAAAACTGATGAATTCCGTTCCAAATGGGAGGATGAGTGATTCGTTCTTGCTGATCCCCCCCACTTACTGTAACACGTATGTATACTTAATTTACTGAAAGGCTGGCAGGCCTTCACGGTGCGGGATCATGCGCGTTTTCCAATTAAAGTATGCCCCTAGCGGCCTAGTGGGAACGTACTGGAGATGCCCTCGTTGCGACACGCCCACCAACGGCTGAATTGTATTTAACAGAGACGTGTGGAATGCCGCTGCGATTATCACCACCCTTCGTTCTTCATTAAAGGCACATCATTTCAGACGGCCGTAACTTTTATTTTTCTAGGTTATGCGTTCTCAATGAATGACGGTGACTGTTTTATTCAATTGGGGTCCAAGAACAGAGTTGAAGCTTTTGTGATGCGCAACACCCAGATGAGAGCAGGCTTCGCTCATTATAGACAGAGCTCAACCCAGGCACAATTAACGCATTTTTGACATTGCTCAGCTAACCGATATTTTTTGTCTTTCCTCAATCCTTGAACACGTGGTGAGTTTATGCAGTAATCGCCGCCCATTTAGAGAGCGCATTGCGAGCGCTCTCATGCACTCAACTGCTCGTTTTGAGCCATTTATCAAGGTATCTGGGCTGTTCCTTATTCAGAAAAAATTGGGAATTTTGCATCGGCTTTACAAATTTACCATTTGGTGTGCGCCTCGTCCACTATGGGCCAGTGTCTGTTTTGTTCGCTTTGGCCAATACTACTCAACCGCCAAGCTTGATGAGGCCTGTCCATGTGGTTTTTCCAGGCAATACCGATTTTCGTGATAAACTCAGACATCCAGAATCACTGCTTCACATCTATGTAGTAAGGATTATTATATTGCCCAAGCAAAGACTCCACCGAGAACAATTCTTCTTCACTTTCTCCAATTTGCTTCTATGCGCAAGGTTTAAAGGAGGAATTCACGATTAGAATGAAGGTCGAAGAAAGGGAAACTGACCTAGTTGAGGGACCCACGGACCTCCTGAGGGTGCGAACTGACGCGCAATTCGCATGGAAAAATTTGACCTCGGCGACCTATCATGCCTCAAAGCTGGCGGGTCCGGCGATCTCCGCCCACCGATCATCTGATCACTCGCCGTAGTTCAATACGTGGCGAGTGATTAGATAGCTGAGAGAGCGTAGTGTTGAAGAGGGCACAGCGATGAGAGTCGCATCAATGCTCGAATCAACGGGCAAGGAAGGGGTACCATTTCTCGGGTTCTGGGCCGTTTCTCATGGTTCTTCCTTCTTTCGTGTACCACTCACCATCCCTAGGTTAATTTGAAATGGGTTGCTTTTTCATCGTGAATTCGTCCTTTGAATTTTTAGTGTAAGGAAGATGATAAGGGATCGTGTTGAAGACCTACTTAGAAGGAAGAATTTGTGACTTTTAAATGAGTACAATGGACGGCTGACTCTAAATCAGTGATCTTTGCATCGAATACGGACCATGAAGCCGAGGGCTTGTCGAGCCGCCGATGGAGCTCTCAAAAGAATAAGGTTATTTCATTCGCCTTGTTAAGAGAATTATTGTTGTTCATTGCTCTGTCTCAGGGGGCTGTTCAAATTCAAATTTTCCGTCTTCTCGAACCGTTTTCACTTATGAAATGCGTTAGTATGCGGTGAAGTTACGGGTCCTTCAAGAGCGCCATTTGCGTCTAAACAGCTACGCTCTTCAGCCTCATGGAAGCAAGCGACGGGGTGAATTCAACTAGGATGTGGAAATGGAGGGGCCATGTGTCAAGCGACAAATAATGAATGGCATTTATGCATTAACGCATCTTCAAAGCAACTATTGCAGCGGCAGGGCAGGGCGAGTAGTTACGATTTCCAGCCGGGCTGTGCCTGGCCCAGCCTCTGCTACTTACAGCGGGTATAGCTGGGTTTTCCAAATTCGCAACCGGCGAAGCACGAATCGATGAGCTGCTGAAGGTCACCCGCCCTGGTTTCATACTGGGTCTGCGGTCAAATGCTGAATGAAGGCCCTTGCTACTATGAATTGGGAGTGCATCCGGACGTTGCTACCAGGGCATTGCAGCAGATACTTGGGTGCAGCCAATACACCTCCACATGCCATCAGTAGCGAAAGGACCGCTACAGAAGGAAGTATTGGTGGAAACTTTATAGTCCGAACGACCATAAGGGCGAGCAAGAAGTCTGTGACCATCTCTGAGGAAATTCTCTCTGGGATGGCATAGCAGAGTTCTTAGTCGGGTGCACTAACGTTAGTGGAGATGAGTCATGAGTCACGTGGCACGCTTGAAGGCAACCCCGCAGCCAGGAAGCACCAGCTTAACCAAAGCACGAACTCCGTGTTTCCGAGAATGTCACCTGGGCTTGTTGGATTCGCTGGGTGGCCTGGTTTGGGAAACCCGCTTCAATGTATGAAGACAAGCATTGCTAAAGTCAGCGCGGAATAGCCCTCTTGGCTGGCTTTGGGGTTGCGAGAGAATCGTCAGAAACGTCTCAGATCCTCCTTCCTCCGAATGTACACCAGACCTCACATTGCAATGCCAACTCACCATGTTCTGAGGGGAACAGCCAGGTCCACGATACCTCATCCACAATATAGCATTGGCATCGCTCTATCGGACTATCGCCTCCTGCTCCGCTGATCAGATCGGATAGAGAAAGAATCAAAAGATTGACTGAACCTCAAAAACACCTCTGCGAACGGATCTTAACTTCCAGCCTTGACTCATTCTTTGAGGGCGGAAATCCTTCCTAACCTTCCCAGAAAAATGACGCATCTCATTGACGTGATATGGTGGTTTGCTAGTTTGAATCAGTTGTTTCTAGCAGGGATGAAAACCGATGATTAACAAAGTTTTCGATGTGAGACAGCAATGTATGAGTGACCAATATTGAAATGCTGAGGACTGTCAAGTTTAATTCTCTAAGAAAAGCAAAGCCCGTTGAGCTTATTGGCATTGTAAACTTCTCAGTAAGTTATCCCTCACGTTCACTCTTACGCCAGTTCCTTCCTGATGAGCTAATTTCTGCGTGCCGCCTCCATTTACCGGTTTTATCCTTTTTCGTGTTAATGTAGCTTACGATGAACATCAATGAACGAATTTTTGCCAATTTTTCGCAGCATCTATGAGTAAGTTTATAAGTTTCTAGAATGGAGAATGGAACTGTGATTGACTACGACATACATCGTATAGTTATTTTTACTGGAGTAATCCTATTCACAGGCGTGGGACTCTACGGCAACATCAGCCTTATATCGGGGTTCCGTAATTCGCTGATCCGCCGGGGATAAGATGAAAATATGGATTAAAAATTTATTTCAATTCTTTCAGATCACTGCACAGACGTAAAATGGAGAGCATATCACGTCGATAAATCTTTTTTGTGTTGCGCCATGACTTCTTACTCTCTACGGTCTTGCCAGACTTTGGAAGCGAAATGGCGCGAACATTGTTGAATTAGAAGGAGGCAGATACACACTTTGGGGTGGACATAGTTTTCGAGATGTAGGGGGGGGGGAGGGAGAGTCCAATGGTTAAAAAAAAGACATTCTGACTCTGACCTTCAGTGGGTGTTTGTCCAATCACACTTTGCTCAATTCAATCAAATGGTTTCTACTTAATATTGAAGAGTGCATTTCACTCTATAAGAAAATTTTATAGTGGGCCACCTACGTTGACAGCATCAGAAGAATTTGCTCCGGAAACATGGTGCACTGGTCGAGCTCAATGGGGATTCGAAGGATGGTGAACCATAACGACCTTTAACGAGAAGCGAGTTTCGAGGGTCTATAGATCGATATCCCCATTGAATCGATTATCGAAATTATGTAAGAGCTTCAGGCTGAAGCAATACGGCAGGCCTCTGTTGGGTTGACGGACGTGGACAGATGAGTCATATTCTTGAAGAAGGTCGAGAAGGCAGTGAAGCGGGGCGTGCGATTAACTTTGATGAGAGGGGACACTTTGTTTAGCAGGAACACTTTACATCTGGGTGGAGAACACCTCCGGTCAACGAATCCTGCGATAGGAAAAAGGGGCCAGTACGACAAGAGGCCACAATTTGTTTCTTTCGACCGCCCCCTGTATAGTATTGTTCCCTAAGGAATGGAAAGCTTGATTGGCGTAGGTGGACTTGGGACCCCGGAGCGTGGGCATAGTATATGGCGCAACTTGCCAGCTAATCGCCTCCCACATACGTATTCTTGAAGAAAACCGGCATTCCTTGCATGAAACAAAGATCTCTCCGATTTGCAAACTTTAATAAGTCCTCATCTGAAATTCCCAAACATGTGATTCTAAAGGCCAAAGAGACTTTATAGGCACTCCGAACATTGAGGGCGCTTAAACTACTACACATAAAGTGAGGTCGGATTGTGCGTTACGACCCAAGAACAGCATCGAACAGAGAAATGCAAAACGACACCAGAGAGCACCACGACATGCGAAATCGTGGCTGTTATCTCCCTATCAATTCAGCTGTGGGTGTTAGAGCGGTCTTGCCGATGCGTTTGCAAGTCCCTGACGACATAGGATACGTTAACCGTCATGTGGCAAAGGCTGGCACGACCTGTAGGCTTGGACCCAACAGGTATTTCTCGCACGCGTTGGCCTTGACTAACAATACTAATCTCAGTGGCCTCCATGCTCCATGTCCTCCTTTCTTGGAACCTCGGCATTTGATGTTGAATGTACTGCAATTGTTTTTGTACTGTGTGCCAAACGAGGTTTTTAAGATGGAATCTTTATTCACTGGCCTGACGTTTCGACCGCTTCGTCTTCTTCAGAGGCCTGGAGATTGTCTGAAGCTTTTGATTCGTTAGCTATTCGATCAACCGCTTACAGTATTCTCGACGACAGAGAACGTCGAGAATACTACGGAGCACTCGAAGTTATTACGGACGAGGAGTTAACTCACCGATGATTCCACCGATGCGGAGCAGTAGCTCACGCCCTGTGTTAGTTGACGTCAGTAAAAACGAATGAGCTCTACTCGTCTCGTGGTGCCATATATTCTCGAAATCTGTCAATTTGCACGTCGCATTGATAGCTCGCACTTTGAGACAAAAGGCAAGAGCTCATTCGTAATCGACGGACATTCGTTTCGGCCATTCATTCTAGGTTTCCTTGCGAAAATCCAGAATGATTCCAATGCTTTTCTGGATGAAATCTCAGTCTCGTACGCTAACACAGAACATTTAACATCAAAGTCGTTCCCATTGTGCTCCTCAATCTTGTGCTTGCCAAGTGGTGTAGCTACATTACCACGCCTCTTCCCAGCTAGATGCTCTTGAATACGGATACCTAGTGCTCTCCCAGTTTCTCCAATATACGTGCTATAACATACCATACATTCAAGTTGGTAAATCACCCCAACCTTACCACAATCCCCTAACGTGCCATTTGGGCAGACGATACAGTTTGAAGTACTATACAGAAAGGTCGGGGTGAGGTCTGGATGTTGGTTCGGCCACCACAAAAGACTTACATACCGCTGCTAAAAACTGTGCGTGTCAACCTAGAGGTGTGAGTTAATGGTCGGCATGTCTGTGTTGCCAGAATCATTTCGGTGTGCGCCTGTTTTGTTCTGCCCAAGGTATGACGCTATTAACAATCATACTCCTGTAAATTTGCCTAATCGTTTTCCTTGAGTTCTGAGAAGGGGGAACTGCTGAGCGAAAAAGCGCCCTTCACCGATCCTCCATTAACAGTTGCTTTGATGGCGGGGTGTTTGAGGGTACCTCGTGAGTTGAAATCTCCACCACAAGTCGGGCCTTACGACAATTGGATACCTATGCTGATCGGAGACGTGTGAAGTTGTTCCGTCGCCAAATAGACTTGTTCGTCGTATGAGGCATGTAGGAGATGGCGGGACGGAAAGTTCCGCTTAGCTACCGCATTTTTTTAGGGGCCTAAAAACGGATTGGTAAGGGATGACGGTTTCCATTAGAATCCACCGACTTCAGCCTGGTTCTGTACAATCGGCCTGCTATATTTAGGCCATATGGCCGTCGAAGTTCGGGCGGGCGATTTTCTAACGTAGGGATGGGGCAGGATTAGCCGAAAAGAAAAGGCGTACTGATGTCGGCGGTATCTTGCCAGATTAGTGGCCAACGCTGGGTACACCGTTCGTGGCGTTTGTAGCTAAGACCTTCTTTCGGCGGAAAAGCTGGTGAGAGCCGACGAAACCGTACGCTCTGGAATCGTTCTTGTGATTACTGGGGATATGAAATTTCTTAGCTCACTTAGAAACAATACCGAGAAACCTTCAAAAAAGAAGGAAAATGCAAACCTTGCAATTATCGGAGATAGCGGAGAATAGATGGGATAAGGATATGGGGAGAATTTCATAACAGTGCAAATAGTGCCGTCTTGCAACATCAGAAGACACAAAATATCAAAAGTTGAAGAAAATTGATCAGAAAAGAAAGAAAGTCATTGTTCAAAGAAATTGTTGTGCGGTGGCTCTACTTTGTCGTGGACCTTTACTGATAGGTTTTGTGACTCTTATAGATTGTTTTTCGCGACCAAATCGGATCAACTTTCTTTCAGGATTGGCTGCGTTCACTGTGGCCTGTTGTCGTTATCTGCCAGACTTTATGTCAAATTTCAGGAATGGTGTCTGGGAGGCAGGTGAATACAAGTCTTTCCGACTGCAAAAGGTGAGTAGTGTTCTTGAGTTTTTTTTTTGCTTTCGGTACTGGTCCTGGATGAGAGTACAGGTGTTGAGCAGAGGCGAAAATAAGATTTCAAGGTTTCGGCGGTGGGGGTAGTTGGCTCATAGTGAGTAACAGACAGCAGTCGAGAAGTCTTTAGGGGTTCGGGATAGGCAATTGCGGGAGAAGAGTCAATTGTTGAGCAAGTCCGGTATTAGCTGGTGGCGTAGAGGAAGAGGCATGTTTGTGTGAATTTCAGCCGGGTACCTGTTGGAGCACGGTCGGGTGACGTGCTCGATAGCGGAAAGGGTGTTAGGCCTTGTCGAGTGCTTCCCTCAACTATTTGTCTGGGTTAGGGTGGTGTAGCTTTTTTGCTTTTGCGAATTGAGTCTGTGTCTGTGGCCGCTTTCGTTAGCGAGAACGCCTGGGCTTGTTTGTTTCTGTCTTCTCTACTCGCTGGTGGCTGGAATATCCAGCCGTGTGTCCCACCTGGTCGTCTTTTTTGTCAGACTGCCGTGCCACGTACACGGGGTGCGGTCATATCGTGAGCGCTCTAACGCCCACTTAATTGTTTATGCTGGGGCGTCTGCTTTATTGATTGACCAGGAGTATCGAACCACGCTTTCCGAATTGATTTCCGTAGATAGGGATGGTTTTGCAAGGGTGATTCGCCGGTGCAGGTGGCTGGATCTACAACCGGAAAGATGCTGAGTAGGCGCTGATAGAATACTGTTTGAGGTGTTCGTGCGAGTCGCAATTACAGAGGCTGGGTAATCTTTGACTCGATGGAAGAAAATGTATCAGGCCGCTGTCCTACCATTTTCATTACTAGCTCAAGCAACGGGATGAATAGATGTTGTTCATAATCGTCCTTCAGCACGTAGGCAACAAAATGGTTTGACATCGAAAGCAATGCTTTTGATATCTCTCCACAAATGAGTTGTCATTGTACGCAGTCGTTGACGGGCTTGTCAATGCCTTGGTGAGTCATGGCTAACGTAGCATCCTTGGGTTAGAAAAAAAAGGAGGACCACCAGTGTTGCACGGCGGGTAGCAGTTGTATGTTCACAGTTCGGAGCCTTCACTGTCAGCGAGATTCTCATTTCTGCACTATCTCTTCTTCTTTTTGTTTTCAGGGTATACGGTTCAGCATGCTCTCAGTGTATTTTCGTCTAATGTCGTGCTTTACACTGCATGCGAGACTGTTGATTGAGTGGCCAAGCGACTAGCTGGCGGAGATTCTATTGCATATCGGAAGTGAACATTTCCCTTGTGTGAGTTCACAGTATGTCGCAGTATGCTATGCCCACTTTTGTACGCTACCATTCTAATTCATAGGCAGGCTTAGTGAAAGTGCTCGCAGGATGTGGTTAAAAAATTTCAAAAAGATTGAAGCATCATTGGGTTAATAATTCTATAAATTGCAAGTAATTTCATTTATGCTTTTTGAACAATAACATCAATACAATGATTAACAACGTAAATCAGAATTTATAAAGAACTCATGGTCACTAACTTCACAGGAACTGCCAAGCGAAATATCATCAACTGTATATACGATTCTGGCTTTTCCTAATTTGCTTTGTTTGAGCTCACCAGAAAGACTCCTGCTCGTGACTCATCGACCTTGACTATTACAGTTCCATCGAAAACGACTTTTTCAGGCACCGAGTTACCAGGAACGATATCTATGTTGCGCTTATTTCCCTCCCATCTGCTGCTTATGGGTTAGTGTCTGTGATTACTGGATTCCTCATGATGAACGATGAACGAATATATATGTGTAACCCACCATCAAGTCTTAATGAGATAGTTAAAAAATGGTGGTACATTGTGGCATTTGTGGCAGGCGGTATTACAATCTTCAGCTACTGCCTCGCCTACCTTATCCTTCTCTATTACAGTGAGTTGCAAATGACAACTTTATTTGCGGTTTTACATTTCCCCTTTAGTTTCCCATCACTTTTTTTGCAAAATACACTTATGATTAGGTAAACGACACATCGGTCAACCACAAGATTTGACGAGACGCACAATGAGAAGCATGAGCATTATTCTACTGATATTCCTCTGCACAAGATATTTTGCCACAGTTGGAGCAAATATTCTCAATATGGCACACTTAAATCCCAATACTGTGGAGTTATTCCAGAACTACAGCGTAAGTCTTTTGCCACTCTTATCATTAAGCGGTCACTAATCTGTCTAGCAGCTGTAACAACTACCTCGAGAGTTTCACAAGAATGCTGGGTTGTGAACAAAACTTTCGCTCCAGACGAGACGAAAGTTTGAGAGCTTTATTCTACATAATAAGACAACGTATTTAATGAAGGCGGTGCTATAAACTGGTAGAAGCCAGTAGGAGATGAAGGATGAGAAGGAAAATGGTGCAGCGATATCGAAAACTTTAAAGGCAAACTCCGGGATTGAACTAGTGCTATCAGCGCTCTGTAGTGATAGCTTAGCTGCGGAACGACCTGAAAGTGGGAAGGAAAGCAAGAGAAATCTTGGGAACGCTGAAACTAAGGCCTTAACCTTCAACAGGGTCGGATGTGGTACGATGGCGAGAAAGGGCGGTCAAAGAAGACAAAATACGCGAGAGAGCACGTCGTTTGAGAGAGCACGCTGATCTCACCACCTCTCGCGGTGGGTGGGAAGCGTTGGATGGTTGCAGGCCCGTAAGGATTAGCGCCCTAACCGCGCAATTTTGCGACGAAGCTGGAGTGATCTAGGTAGTTACAGACCTTACAATTTCCCTCGTGGTATCCCTCCTACTAGTCGGGCTAATCCCGGGGTTTGCCTTTAAGGGAATGGTCTCCAACTCACGAAATGGGCTCCTCATTTTTTGTCGATTTCACCTCTCAAACAACAAGCCAGTGAACAAGGCAGAGGACGCTTAGACGAATTGACTGTTTACATCACCGCTACGATCTATGCCCGACACGGCGAAGCATTTGAACGTGTACTTTGGTTAACCCGTACATTCTTTGAGCTACCATAGAAATCAAAATAATTTTCTTCGAATTCCTTCTGAAGGATCCAATGTTGCAGCTGTTCCTCAACGACATGACGATCTACTGCCCCGTAAAAGAAATTGTGGCTAATTGTGGCCTTTGGCCAATTCAGGTATACGGCGCATCCGAGTACGACTCCCCTCGCTTGACTCACTTAAAGTGATGTTTGTCCCTGGAGACGTAGTTCTGCATACATAGATCCAAAGGCTCATTTCGCGATTGCTCATATGAGTGATATTTCCCCCAAAATGTTACAAGTGGTCAAGCTGCTTGTTCAACAGTCAATACAGCAATGAAACTGTTGAGAGCATTTGAACGCACATTAGCGAAATGCCTTTTTGCCTCATCAGTGTTGGTCGCTTGAGATAAGCCTCCTTCATCGCTCGCAAAGCTGGAAAAGCAGTCTTGAATGATTCAGCCGGTTCTCCCTTCTCTAGTGATGGCAATATTTTGGACACCCAATATTCTGTGGCCTTGCTTAGGTTCAGATCGTGATGCGTGATCAGTTTCAAACTAGGAAATGAAGCAAATTTTGCCGGCTCTACTGTATTCAAAATGCTTCTGCACTTCAAAACGAGATTCTGTAGCTGGCTCTCCTTCCGAAGTCAGCTTCACGTTGACTTACCTCTGATGGATTTTACTTACCTCGTTCATAAAGGTCAACAACAAAACGCAAAATTACTCCCCGCAGTAGCCGCCGTCGGATTGTCAGAGAAGCGAAGACTTCAGGGGAACCTTCTGATCATGGCGTATACATGGGCGACATTTAAGCTCATCTGAAGCTTCCTTGAGCAAATTCTCCGGCTTTCCGAAATGCCGAGGACGATCATATCCGAGCATACACCATGCATAGTAATCCTTGGATTTGGCTGAGGATAGCAACATGACCCCATCTCAGACGCAGTACTTTCCAAGCAAATCGCGTACACATCCTCCAAATCTGCTAAATAAAGGCTTCCCTCAGTCTGAAATCAATCATATTAATAAAAGGATGAAGAAAAACAAATGCATAGCCGTGACTCAGTCCCTTCTGGGATGCGGCACGCATCGTCCTACTGCCCATTTGTACTATTCCTTGTGACACCAAATACGATTTGGCCGATATCAACGACTGCAGGGCCACCAGCCGTATGAATATAAAAGTCAGTTGTTTTTTTCTCCCCGTCTGTCTGGTACTAATTACCGACTCGGATGGGACGTCGAAACAGTATTCCAAACCGACCTCCGTGCGTGATACAGCAGTGTCCACCCGCCTACTGCAGCCACCTCTCCCGTCCTTCAAGTAATAAAAGGATCGGAAATAAACGCTGTTTTACAGATAGAAATAGCATCTTCTTCTAACCAAAATAATCAGTCATCGGACATCCTGACTTGATGCAAACTTGAGCTTCCGCACTGGTCCGCGCACATCCTCGCACGTACCTTGTTTTCATTGCTCTTAAGATCACAGCAGCCTTTCACTCACATCCATGCCATTCGTTCCAGTACCCAGCTTTGTGACTATCGCAATAGCAGTAGACGCAATTTTTTGGGACACTACGTCATATTACTACGTAAAATCACTAAACACATAGCTGTGCAAACGAGTACCCCTTCACAAACAGGAGGAGACATAGCAGCTTGGAAAATCATCGTATTTCACGTGGTCAACATTTGAAATGAGCATCAATCTACACGGAAAGGATCCACAAAATTCACAGACAAAACTCTGTGGAATTCCACTCCAAGGGCGCGGTTCCCGTAATGGCTGCTCCTAATATTTGGCTGAGGCATACACATGCCTGACGAAGGTGTTATACACCGAAATATCGCAGGAGACTTCGGAGGAATTCTTTTTCTTTTGGAATTTTTTTTCCTGCTTTCCGAGTTGAGCTTTATTCGAAATCTGTGGAAGCTTTTGGAATTCTTTGAAATAAACCTTTGTGGCCTTCTTTGTGTGTATAAGCATTTAGGTCTGATAAGGCTCCCTGGACATGGCACAATACTCAGAAAACTCGTGGTTACTTGAAATTTAGTTATTACGGCACTAGTTACTGTAATTTGCGGCCATCCTGTATACATGTGTTCAGATGTGCGTATGTATTAAATTATGTGAGCGTAGTGTCATCATCATTTTACCATCAAATACTCATTTTGTCATATAACCTGGAGGGTGTTGTGAAAAATGCATCTCTCTAAAACTTTTTAGTGTGTTTTAAATTTCAGGTATTTGCGGCCATGATCTGCTACAGTCAGAACTTTTATGTGACTCTGTGGAGGAGCTCAGAGTATCGTGAAGTGTTATGGCAGCAACATGTGAAAGTACACAATACTCTCTATGGAATGTGTTGCCCATTGACTTTGAAAAGGAAGGTGTTTTCCGAATCCACACCCGATAATCACAGGCATGGTCCTGACCACATTTCAATGACACATATTTGAAGAGAGAAGCCAACGAGATCTCGACGACGTCTGCCATTGTCTGGTCATTCTTTTTCATTGTTCCAGATGCCTTTTCGAGAGAATAGACGAAAACTCACAAAACTCACTCGTTCATAACAATCAGCTCATCTATTTAATGTTGCGCTCGACCACTTCTTTTAATTCTGAGAACTCAATTCTGTTAATTCTGTCGTTGGAATGTTTGCATTGTATAGATAACATATTCGTCTGAAGGGATCGAAAGAAGCTTCTGCAGAAAGCCTGTTTCTCGGTCTAGGAGTAAACATTTTTATACATGTTGGTTTTACAAATATTGGGTTGAGCGGAAATAACCCGCTATTTCATTTCACACATACGTTTATTGATAAAACAAAAACGGTTTTCTGCATGATATAGGAACGCATTCGGAAAGCGGAGAGTCATTCCTCATTTTTCCAAAACTGCTCTCTGGAAAGCAAAAAAGGGGTGATGAAGTAGTCCGTGGTTCCCAACCTTTTGCATTTTGACCTAAAGGCACGCTCCGGGCTCAAGCACGCTCACCTGCTCCATCCGAGCGTAGTAGGCAGACGGACCGAACAAGCGATGACGCCGCGCCCCTTTTGCGCGAAAAAGGTGGCTGGAAGCTTGCTCGACCCGCAATCCACTCCTTCGTCCAAGCCCCGCCTTCCGCTGTCGTTTGCCACAAAACGCTCTTTGAAAAGCGGGGGCGCCATCGCGGTTCAATGTCATTGGCACTGGAGCAACTGGAGCTAGGCTCGTGAAACTCGTCCAACACGCCCCTTCTCTATCCCAAGGTGGAATGCGGCTGAAATAGGGAGGTTCTGTACGGGGCGTAATCGGTGGTTTCTCTTGCTTTCTTCTTCTTTTTCAGACCACTCCCACCTCTAGCTTCATTAGTGAAGCTCTTCCACACCTAATTCATCCCGAAGATTGCCTTCAA